GGATTATAGGAATTATTGGAACAGTAACAGAAATTTCTAAAACGATCACCTTGAGCTGAGATAGCTATAATAAAGTTGCGCTGAGTAAATGGTGGTTGAAAAGGCATTGAATTTACGAACTGTTAGCAATTTTTGTTAATAATTTCTTAAATGTACTTCAACAAGTCTAATCAATACTTCAATAAAAGATGTATTATGAAATATGAAAGTTAATATAGAAGTTGGCATTGAAGGTAACTCTGATATACAGACGAAATCACTGGCAAAATCTACAACCGTGTGTATTGAAGTTGACAAATATTGTAAAACATCGAGTTTTTACTTTGAGAATTTCGTTTTTGTGAATAATTGTAACTCAAAATCACTTCTTTCTTTAAGAGCTTTTCTTTCATGAAGTTTGAAAATGTCATTAACCCAATAAATTATACATCTGGTTTAAGATTTTTTATGAGTATTAGGAATGAATCCCTTGAATTGCTGCCATATAAAACGTGATCCATTTTGTATAGTGAGACGTCTTCTTTTGGATACAGGACATTTATTTGTAGAGGCTGTTTGTTTGCGTTATAAACACACGATAGGCACATAATTCTCAACTTCTAAAAACTATCCCATAATGTTTAAAATTATAGCCTTATCTGAGAGCTAGTAGCGAAAACATCCATAGATTTCTATTTATTAAGCTCCAGTGACGTTTATTGAATAATAAAATGAATGACTGAAGTAATCAAATTAACGAGTCATTAAAATTGAAAAAAACTATTATTTTTTTACACATTTTTTTACTTACATCTTCATTGCTGTCGCAAGAGTATCATGAAAAAATAATATGTAACAATAAATTTAACGTATCCTGCCTTGAAGGTATGTGAGGAGAAAACTGTTTTCTCGGGAAAAATCCTTCAGCGTAGGCTATACACATTAATTACAATCCTATCAACTGTGCGAACGTTGCGAGAGATTCTATTAAGGATCGTTTACTCGCTCCCTCGAGACTAGATTAATCGCCCCATTATAAACCAATAATAGCACGGCATCACTGCAGATGTAAGTAAGCTTATGTATTTCTAGTCGCCCATCTTACAGTAATTACTGTTCATTGTATATCCTCCTGCTATCGTCCTAGATCTGCTCGGAAAATTTAGCATCCCTGCGGTCAATAATATGTGGGCTAAGTTTATGGTACTGATATTAGTTGTTTGTACAGTTTGCATTATACTTTATTTGATATTTATATAGATGCTGCAAATGTAGAATGCTGAGATGAAAACTAAGTTGATTCTAATCACACATTACCTCTAGTTCTTCAGTTGATTCCACATCACTAATTCTCATCTTCATCAGACCAATAAACAGATTTGATACAATTGTTTTATTTTTATGTATTTTCAATGCGTTTTTTAAACTAACATCATGAAGAGGAAATATCAATGTTTGTTTGCATCGAATCGGCTCCAAAAATACTAGACTAGAAAGAATTTTGTACGTTGATCTTTGTGGCTACTGATAGACATTGTAAACATTTTCACTTTACTGTGTCATTTGAGCGAGCACAATAGCAATATGCGCACGAGTGAAAGAGATATGTATTAACTATATAATGACTCAGCACATTCATTGTACGTAACAGAACAGATCTGTTAAAAATTCTTCTGCAGCATTAAACTGAGAGCTGAGACGTTCGTAGTCTAATCCGGAGTTATTTTAAAATGAACATCTTCTTCTTCTTCTTGACGACGGATGTTTTCCGCAACTCGACACTTGTTGCCTATTTTGCGTACAAACAGTGGAGGCCTTAGTTCTGCCATCCCAGATCTTCCAAGAAGGATTGGAAATAAATGAACCTCTTTACATTTTCTCGAATTTGATTGTTGTTTTAACTTCTTAGAAATATACGTAATGTTGTCTAAATATTTGTGATTATAAAGCTTAAATATCACGGCTTTCTCCTTTTTAACTGTCCATACACATTGGGGTTCTTTGTTAGATTATATTTTATTTATAAATAACTATTATTATATTAAGGTTCAATTTTATAAACAATTGAACACGAAACATGTAAAGGTATCGAAACATCCGACTAAAATGACTAAACCGAAAATTAAACAATTCATTTTGAATGTTAAAAATGTATTGGTAGTTGAGACAAAATAAAACCAGGCCTTTGGCGCAGCAGCAAAATAATTATATTTGTTTACAGTAGCAATATAATGTAGCATTGTAACAAGGATTGTCGACATTAAACGGAATATATGAAGCGTCTGTCGCAGTTGGCATTGCCATACGTGGCCACGCAGACGCGACGGTACCTACAGGATATTGAACAATTTCCTTGACACTACCAGTAATTGCTTTAATTTTACGACTGCATATGAACACAAGCAGTATGCGTTAATCAAAGTTCTGTAATGTTCGTACTGAATCGAATGTGTTTGTAATAGCAGAACGAGTTAACAAGATGTAGAGCTATATTTAAATGTCGGTGCAGTAGTTAGATTTATTGACAAACTGCATAACACGACTTTAAGCGTTCTAATTGATTGTCTTAATGTGTATATCTGTTCCTCGGTACTTCAACAATAGTGAACACTATTGAGTAAGTCTTTTTGTTCGAAAATATATTAAATTGCGAAGGGGCTGTCATATCAATATCATGAAGATTGGAACAATATTTCCTTTGTAAACCTAAAATAATGTTAACCTCACCTTGTAGTTTGTTACTAAAAATAAAATTATTTTTACTGTAAAATATTAAAAATAAATTATATAAATATGTTCTTGAATTTGCTAACCGTCGATATAATCATTAAGAAGAATTTATTTTTATATTTCGTCAATTTCGATTTGATCGCTAAACATATTTCATTAGCGTTTTTTCATGATTTAATGCGCCCGAAACATCATAGAAATCTTCTATACTATCAATGAATTCCGAAAAAGAATCTGAAAGCATTTTATAATGACTTTCGCTATATCAAAATCTGTATCTTATACATATTGTAATGTCCAAGGGCAGGATTTTATTTTACTCTTTTAGGGGAGCTCACGGCATTATTTACAATATAATTACATTTATAATATATAAAGGCATTAGCCTTTATTTATTTATTAACAAACTTCCACATACAGGCAGAAAATTTTTTGAAATTAATATTGTTTATGTAAAATTAATGAGACCTGATAATATCTATATGCAGACACAACTATGCACTGCAATCACAATATGCTAGAGACATGCTCAGCGATGATTTCAACACATAATCGTACCTTCAAGGTATGAACTTAATACGTTCTTAATACGTCCTGTCGTGCTATTGAAAAGGTCGAGTCGACTATAATCATTCAACTCTGTATAGGATAGAGCATTATATATGAATAATCAAATTAGTTGTTTATCTGACTTTTATACAAATGAAATACTACAATCTGAAATAACTTATTTTTTATTTACAGATTTATGATATATGTTTTATTTACAGATTTATTATATTACTAAAAATAAACTATATATAACTCATTGTACCAATAAAATTTATTATTCATGGCTACCGCATCAATTTATAATTCCACACGATGTTTATGGACGCAAACAGTCAAGTTGACCTAATTCTAAACTTAACGACAATTACAACTTTATTGTGACCCGCTTAACTATAATCTGTAGTTTTAGTATTAAGCGCTCCTTGGTAATAATATGCTTATTCACTGGTGTTAGTTAAATTAGTTTTCTTATCTAAACTAACCTAATACCTGACTTAACTATATAAAGTTAAAAGTCCATTCTAGACTGAACTGAAAATTAAAATCTATTCTATAGAGTTTATGGCAATAAACTTGCATGTAAATATTGAGTTTCCATAGCATAGCTGTGTAGGAGTTATGTTTTATTGAAAACAAATATTATAATATCTATAACTAAAATTGTTTTATTTATATTTAGCAATAAATAAGAATTTTTAGCTACCTAGACCGTTGAATGTTAAAACTCAATTGTCAAATAGCACTTATTAATAAACGTTTTCGTTAACAGGAAAAATAAGCCGGAATATTTGATAAGCGTAAGTTAATGGTTATTAATGAAACCGCGTTTTTAATTACCGCTGACAAATGAAAACATTCTTTAATGAACTTCTGGAATTTGTCACTAAAAGTTTTGGGGCCTTTGGGAGTAATAAATCAGAGAGGCAAACTCACACAACCGACGCGACGTATAAAGGTACTCCACTTAGACTTATTAACTTAGTTATCCTCATATGAAATCTCTCGCAATCCCAATAATTCAGTTATGAATAATTTCTATTATTCGTTGTGGGTTTTTCGGTTATCTAATGAAAAATCAAAATCAAAATCAAATACTTTGAATTACTTGAATTTATTATTAGTACAATTTTATCTGCAATCAAATTTTATTAAGTAGATGTTTAAAGGGTTCAAGCTTTATTTTTACTAAGTATTACCAAGGTAATACTTAGCCGCTTTAGTGTTCTGTAGAAAAAAAAATAATTGCGCTATAAATAAACAAGGTACAACTTTTTATATGAATTTACTATGCACTGTGTACATAATGAAAAATATTTTATCACGTCTTTTCGTGAGTCCATTTCTTAAAGTTGCAAAATAATTATATCTGATCCAGTTGTTCTGAATCTAGTATCTCCAGTCGCATGTAGCAGCACAAAATCTAATCAAAACGGTTCTGAGATACACAGTGGACTGTTTAACGATATACACTTACTTTGGGGAAGGATTCAGGATTTGAGCTTTGCCTGCTATGCAAAGTCTGCACGGATCCCTAGTTCTGAGCCCTTAGTGTAAGTTTTTTGACGTTTACGTTCACTGTCGATCGCGAGCGCGTTAATATTTTTGTATGGATTCCGATATAGCACCCCTAGCGGACACTACCAAGAACTATAAATCTCCATACAAATTCTTAATCGTGAATTTTACATTTACAACTCTGAACAGATGTGTGTTTTTAAAAATCAAATGAACCTTTGTTTTTAAAATTTTATTGACTAAATTATTTTAACTTAATTAACAAAACGGTGGACAAAAGGCTAGAATGATATTACTATATAATATAGGTGTTACAGATTCTATCATTCTAAAATATATAAATAATTTAATTCTCGTGAGAAGTAATCAGTTAGTGGTTTATTTTGTTATCTGTTAATATGCTGTAAAATATTGTAGTAAAGTAAATATAACACTATATTATAACAATACCATATACAAATTTATTTAATTGGATTATGTCTCATATATACTTTATCTCTGTATATAAAAAGTACTTATTTATAATAATTTTATAATGCTAATTTATAAAAATCTCTATAAGTCAAAGTTTTTGTTAATCTAACATAAACTTAAAGCTATGCGGTTTCGTTACATCTATTTGTATGCTATCGCTTCGTCTTCTTCTTTCCTTACTGCATGAATAAGGACCAATGAAATTACGGCGTTGATAACCTGCAACATAAAATATTTTTATGTTAATGAATAAATAATTACACTGCTAAATATATGTCGCATCATCTTTACGAAGATCGTTTGATTTAGTTTCTTTTATTTTAATTGCTAGTTACTCGATTACTTAATTACTCGATTGTAGAGAGGGCGTGATCATCGATACTTTAAATTTTATTAGAATGGTGACACTGACTTTGACAGTTCGTTAACAAAACACAAGTTGCCGCCATTTTGGCACACATTCTGTTTCCGATCGCCGAGGAGTAAAGACATCCGACGACATCACGCTCATCTCGTTATATTTTCGTATGAAAAGTGATAAAATGGAACAAATCCACGTTGGTATACACGCCTGCAGTGTTATTTTAAAGATAGTCCTCCGATATGGACGATCTATTTGGGCTTCGTAATAGCCCCTTCGGACTACCCGCCGACATATATTTTCACTTAAAAAATAGTAAGCAATTTACCTATAGTAGTCCACAATATTATTAAATATCTGAATTAGAGAGGGTACCTATATTAGAATTTTCCTCTCCAATATTCAATTTCTTCAATACAATTTTCAGGTCTACAAAAGTATTTTTATTGGGTTTCCAAAACATTAAACTATGTAAAAGTATAGATAATTCATAAATAATAGGAAAAGAGTTCATCATAAAGGTTTTGTGTTTGAATATTGTATAATATAGTTTCCTTAATTATTAAAAAATACAATAAGGGTGATTTTGAAGGTTTATTTTCATTGGTTGAAAGCACCTGAAGGCCCGCATGCGGATAAAGGCAATTCCTGTGGGCATCCCTATTAAAATGCAAAAGTAACTACTGTCTGTCGGTGTCTGTCTGTTTCAACTTTATTTTAGATATAGTTGATTTTGGGATATAACATTGGTCACCTTAAATCGCGGAAATGGGTTGAAATAGAGTATGAAATTTGGATGAAAGTTTGTCATTTTAGTTAATATTAAATATGAATTTGCGCAATATTAATGTAAATTTACTCACACACTAAACCTAAACATTATTAACACCGATAATATCTTCTGATATTAAAATTCTTAAGCGGCAAGTAATTTACCTGGATTTTCATTAAAGAACTTCAAATAGATTAGATCTAAGAGATGATCAAAGGAAGAAAACTAGACCGCAATGACATAGAAAGCAACTTGAAACATCTATTAGGACAGTTCTGTAACTCAGTCATTGAATGGAATTTATCATTAAATTCTAGTTTCTGGATCTTAATTTAATGTTTGGACTTAAAATAATGTGGCTTTTCCTAGAGATAATCGGACTGTAAATCGTACTGTGCAATCTTAGAATGTCTTAACATCATATAATTATCCTTTAAATATATTTATTGTTTAAAAAATCTGCCAAAAATTCTAAATGGAAGCTAAATACCTACGATAGAATAAGGGTAACCTTACTCTACACGATTACCTGGGGGCACGGTAGTGCTTCCAACCAAGTTGATGATCTTTTTGTTTTAAATTTATTGATTACAATAGGTAATAGAGAAAAAGAGTTTCAACTTTTGACAGCAAGTAACATAATACTAAATACTTCACAAGATTCATATAAATTCTTAACGAGGAATAGTAAATAACTATTTGCCAGCATTTATTAGTCCCAAGATGGTCGTTCAGATTGACTAATTGTAAAAGGCAATAATTGGAAGCCAACCGAATAACCATTAAGCTAATTAACACAAACACACTTATATTAATTATTGTAATTATACGAGTACTCAATTTAATCAAATAGGTATCTTTTGTTTCATAATAAGTTTGTGTTCATAAAAAGTTGTTCGCTTTGAAGGTTCATTGTTTGTACTTAAGAGGAAATATTAGTGTATAAAAATTAATTATACCCTGTTTTCCGTCGTAGTTAATCGTAGTTAGTGAAAATTTTTTGTACCAAGGTTTATTTTATTTTTTATTACTGATTCCGATCCGAATCGAGTTTAAAAAATTAACATAATTCGAAACTGCTTGTTGTTCATGAAAGTTTGCACCTGACGCAATTCGGAACAGTTTTTTTACTGATTGTAGCTGATGCAGACCTGGCGTGTTGTAATGAAAAAATACAGACTTATTGATTTTGCATTTTTTCCTTTTGAGTATTCATTTCCAACTTGGCAAGTTTAATTTTAATAAATAAATAAAGACAATGGTACTGTTTGTAGATGGTACCTGCGATATGACTCTTAAGCAACTTTCGCAATGGCCAGTCATAGGATGGGTGACCAAAAAAATATTACGTCGAGCTCTCCTGTGCTTTAGAAGGCACGTTAAGTGTCGATCCCGGCTGCATATGTAGTCGTTGTTAACACCCACTAATAGGTACTGATCCCTGGGTAGGTCATGACCCAGTCTTCTTATTCGATATAATCTATAAGTTCTGAGGTAAGACCTGAACTTCAGTAGTGGGAACATTAATAAGTTGCTGATGATGATGATGAAATAAATAGAATCAAAAACCAAACAAAATTGTGACGACATCTGGACCAACGCATTTACTTACAGCAATCATACAAGACGCTAGTACGATACCAGCAAGCCATCCACTTTTGCCCTCTAGATACCAAGTGAGCTCATCGACGCATCCATGGAAATAAGCATTTCCTGTTACCGAATCTCTGCATTCAGCAGGTAAGGGTTTGTTCAAATTTAGATAATCCATAGGACTATCGGCACCACAACATCCAATCTGAAACAAATAATAAAGAAATTATTAATATTAACTCCTAGGCAATTCAAATAACATAATAAGGAGTCCACGTTCGCAGTATATCGATGAAGATAGCATATTTAACCAAGGAGGGTTCAACAACGAATCACTGTAATGATGCAACAAGATTACCTAGAATGTTTTAAGAAGTGCAGTGACATTAAGCACCATTAGTAGTTATACGGTCAGTTGCACAAACGTCAATAAAGGTTTAATATTGCCTTTAAGTTCTAATGAATGTCAAATTTGTATGGGTAATGTCACTTTAAACTAATAAAATTTTAATGGAAGTTTGTGCAACTGGCTGTTTTTAGTCAAGTAGAAGGAATTACTTGAGTAAAATTTTATCCAATACGCCACTGAGCTACTCGTGGCGTTAGTAGTTAATCATTATCTTTTATCGACAAAATTACGATACTGAGTCGATGCATTATCACATAATAACAACTACTTATATCTTTTTGACGAGTACGTCGAACATTTGAGGCATATGTGGAATCAAGACTGTGTTTGCCATTTACTTACGAATACAAACTTTTTAGTAAAAATGCTTGTATTATTTATTTCATTTGTATGTTCGCAAGGCCCAAACCTATCGTCCCGTGCGCTCGTTTTACTGTAGACAATGTTACGCTTTTTCGCTGTTTGCTTCGTTAGAAGTGACTAACTATGTCTATCGCTTTTGTGTGCGGTTTTGACGAACGAATAATTTTAGTTTTGTACGTTCGAAATTCATTACGTTTTATATCTTTGGTAGAAAAACGCTATTTCTATAAAAGAAAAATAAAACAAGTAAATTTAATAGGTACACTTACTATAGAAACTAATTTCAATTTATAGTAAACTTTATCATGTCCTGTCCTACTCTATGGTATTAAATTAGCTGAGGATAGACGACGAAACAGTACACTATTCAATATCGACTTTAAAAATACTAGTAAGAGAATGTGTATTATCGAATCAAAAGAATTCGAACTTAACGTTCTGAGTGTAAAAATAAAAGAAGAAATAGTAGAAGTAAGAGAGTTAACAGAATAAGATATGATGAAATGTTAATAACAATAGTAAACTAATAAGAATGAGATTAATAAAACAGTGTTACTTACACCTTCTTGCACCATTCTCAAGATGAGCCGACTACCTTCGTGTTGTGGGTTGTTCATCAAATTGTAGATAGAGTTTTTGATAAGAGGCTGGAGACTGGAGTTGTATGTGGAGAAATCCAGAAGGACGCATGCTCCCACCAAACCGAATACGAATATGCCGATTTGCGTAGCGATGTACTGTGTGATAAAAAATATATATGCAAATGCTTTCCTTCATTATCATAAGTACCTTCATTATCTAGAAAGGCTTAGAAGTAGAAACAGTACCATTTCCACTTCTAGGCCTTTCTAGACGTAAAGATGATAAAACAATTACAGATATAGTTTGGAGTACGATTCTCATCAAGATGATCACTGTAGGAAAACTCTTACTAAGAGTTCAAGATTTTCGTATATATTTTATAAAGATAGATAAACGGTAGATAACGCACCACGTGAGTGTTATGAGGCTACTTGATGTAAATCTCTAATTTCAAGTGATTATTTTTGAGCTTTCGGAATTGTTCAACAGTTTCACTATGCAATGGAGACCAATAGCTTAATGTATCTAGAATACATTCGAAAGTTTGTGAATTTTACTTAACTTCCACAATTGCAGATTCAGTCGACTAACCATGACTTTACCCTTTGAAATCGTTTTATAAACGCTAGTTTTAACACAAGCATCTATTTTTCTTCATTCTATCATGTAATCTTCAAAATTTCTTCGATTTTTTTACAGTGAAATCAAGCACAGATATTAAAAACTGGTAGTTGGACAAAATTATTGGCTTAGCCCAACTCTATTAAAATTATGTATCCAAACAAATATGTACCGGTTTTAGTTAAATAAACTAACTCATAATTTATATCTTATAAATGTAGAACCATGGGATTCTACATTTATATACCTACTTACAGCGAATAATAAAAAGACGTTTTCCATAAGAGCTGATCCACATCCCAGAAAAGCTACAACCATTATGACCAGAGATGCTATAAGGATGATGTAGATGCCAATGTAGTATTTCTGCAGTTCCAGAATGGTCATCCATTCACTGAAGACAGGTTCGATGCAAATCCATAGGCAGAGTGCAAAGATAGACAAACCGAACAACTGTAAAGAAAAATTAATATTATTATTCTTAATGAAAAATGCTTAAAAATTCACTTTATCCCTAGTAAATTGAGATGTGATTCGAACCTATGATTTTTCGCAATTTGGGCGACTGTCTTGCGATTGTGAAAGGTCATGGGTTCTAGTTCCATCTCAGAGTGCCAGAGACAATGTGGATTTTTTAGCATTTTTCACTTAGAATATTTTTCAAAATAGCATTGTGAATTCAAAATTGATCAAATATAATAAAAACGAAACAAGATATTTCTTGTTAATGAATATTTGCATAGTTACATAAAATCTATAATTAAGGTATTTGGAAATCTTGAAAAGGAAATCTTGTTATGAATAAATAATAAAGATGGCACCTAATCAAAAATTGAAGAACCCCGAGTGTCGTAAAACTATTTCTGTGATGCAAACTCGAGTAATGGTGATGGCAAGATCTAAAAGTTTTACAATATCATTAATGCTAAGAGTGTTCCGTAGATTCGTTGGAAGGGGAAATAAAATATCTCAGTTTCTCATAATAGCTTTGTTTTTGCCTCCTGAATAGCTATAGAGATAAAGGCATTTGCCTTGGCGATATATAACAAGGTAATATGTTTAGTTACAGGATGTTTGCCAAGTCATTTTGTTTGTGAAAGGAACTATAACTTACCAACAGGAATATATTATTACACAAAAATACTAAAACTCAATGGGATTACATTGCAACATAATATTAATCACTCCAAATTATTTTAAGCTCTATTTTTAATGCATTAAAAATTATTGCAATTTAGCTTTCAGTTACTTGAGCAAGAAATTTGACAAGCTGCGCAGAAATACTCCCAAAAATAAATAGTAAGAAATTAAATTGAAGAACAATAATATAATGACAAAAATAAATAACTTTTTGGCAATATATTATAATTTTCAATATTTTAGTCAGATGAGATTCATATTATATTCATATTCATATTCATATATACCAAATTCAAGGTTTGAATTAAACGTAATATCTATTTTGTCCACCCTACACGTAAAACAAATTACAGGGCATCTATTCAAAGCGAAACTTCAGTTTCTTATTCAAACTTTAACAATATTTAACCTTTCATGGTAGTTTTTCTTTGAAATAGACTTTTTGTTTGTTTGTTGTGGAACAGCATGGAATGTGTCCAATGGGAGTTTGAGTTTTAGGTTAGCATACAATTTATGCTGAATTTGTTTGCAAAGATAATTGATTTTTTATGTAATTGTATTGTAATTGGTGCAATGAAAAGATATTTGACGATCTTCGTAGCCGAGTGGTTTGCACGCCGGTTTCAATGTGTCGCCATCTCTGCGGTGCCAGGATTTATCCCCAGTCGCGTCAATGTAGAAAATGGGTTCTCTAAATTGTCTCGAGTCTATATAATACTCCAGATAATACAAAAGCTTTAGCTACTCATCTTGGAATCAGAGCAATGTAAGTGATGTTATATAATAATTATTTATTAAAAAAAAATTAAAAGATTTCTAATCAAATTTGGTTTATTCGTCTTTCTTTAATAACATATATTTTCAATAGCTTTATTTTATTACAAAACATAAGGAATGATTTTTCATGCCAAGAGCTAGTTTTTTTTAATGTAAGAAAATTATTTATTTCTGTGAGTTCTAGCTTTTTGATGACACATCAATAACTTTTATTATAATGAACAAAACTTCCAAAGAGGCAACAATATTAATGTCTCATATTATGTCAGATAAGACGCCGTCGAGTCTGCGTCTGGGATGTACACGCTATTGTCCTAACATCATACGAATTATTCCTTTGACAATTGGAGCATATCTACGCTGTTATGTTTTGTAAAAACATTTGATATAACAATACAGTAATCCATTAGTGTATCATCAAATGATGCGGAAAGTTAACTTGTTCGGCGAAAACGTCGTTTAGCCGAACTAATTTCGACTCTATTGCGGTTATATTAAGAATACTGGTGTCACCTGTATCGTTCGGTGCTGGAAAAATCATATAATGCCGAGTGCCGTTCTGGTTGGCTATTAATGGTTCGCTACACCCTAAAACACGGTCTCCTGATGATGAATGGGTCCTCTGCGAGCGAAGTTGACTAAATAGCGAGCTTATAGATACATTGTCCATGTCATACAGTAAATGGGCTTGTTTCAGGCACGAGAGGAGCAGTTAGAAGTAATCGAGAAATACGTTCGTTAGAAGTAGATCACATAGGTTAAAGGTACTAAAAGAATACAAAAAACAGCTATAAATATTTGACTATTTAAGATAACCGTGTCCTAAGTTCGAATAAACTTACAATCCATCTTTTATTTATAGTCCAAGGCTATCGTTTAGTCTGATAACGGAGTTATTTTTGTTAACATTAATGCTACTTTTACGCTCTTGAATTTTAAATAGTAAATACTCTGTGTTTATATGGTATCAGCTAAATTTGAATTACGTTAATACAATTCCCTATTGAAATGTTTTTATAGCTACATATCGGTTTAAAGGTCCCGATGTGAAATGGGTGCAGGTCGATATTCAGTCTCCATTCCCGATTTGAAAAAAATGAGGTTTTAAGAAGTTAATAAGGACTGATTGAGCGAACTCCATGACCAAGGATAGATATCGCCAAGGAGCTGTTGTTCTAAATAGAAGAAAAAAAATAAACGTTAATATAGTTAAGTACCAACACTCTAAATATAATATAATCTAATCTAAATATAGGTTAATTTTTAATTCACTTTTAATATTAAAATTTAGGTGTTATTATTTTCTCTGAAAAGGCTTCCCGTATCATACTCACCACGACAGAGTAAACTGTCATCTAGGGTCTATCCAGTGGACTCATAAGACCACGGAGGAGATTGTCACATAACCAGTGGAGTTCCCATCAACCCTCGTTGGAATGCTGGTTTACAACGTGTGGAACGCACATAAGAGAAATAATCAACAATGAAAGGGACAAATGGCCCAAATTGTAAATACTACGTTTTAAAAGCATACTTTTCATAGGTTTCGTGTAATGTAGGTAAGGAACTATTTTCTGTAGTTTATGAAAATGTATCGTTTCGGAAATCAGGCATGTTTTTAGAAAGATAATGGTCCTTGATAGTTTCTATAATCATGATTACACGAAGAAACTACAAAATTAAATTTATAAACCAAGTCCAGAGAGAGAATGGTAAAGTTTCGCCTATTTTCTCAAATAAGTTCAACCTGTTAATATTAAAAGTAATTAAATGTTTATATTTGAGAGCCAAGTCCTCTCATATGATATGTTATTTAATATACCTAGTTTGTAAAACTATTTGCAAAATTTTATAATTTTCTCTAAAAAAAGTTCCCATGTTTTAGATTAAATTATACTCCTACGTTACTCGTTCTTTGTGTCATCTACTTTCATAAGTGTACCGTATTTGGATTTAATATCACACGGGCAGTTACATGATAGATAAGATAATTCTTTTTTATCATTTATTTTTGTTAAGAAACTTAAGAATTTGCGTTTCTGAAAATAAAATTTAGTAAGTTCCCGAAGACTTAACTACATAAATAGATTTTATTGATTTAGTCTTAATTAAGCAAACCTTTTTGTGCTACTTCTCTTGATTTTCAGATTTATTAAAATTGAATCTTTTGTTATATTATCATAGCGGTCCTATTCTCTTCGAGTTTCTCGATTGTTCTATTTTGTAAATTGGTTTATTAAATCGATACCTCGATGAAAAGAATTATGGTGAAGATTTTAATAAATTTCTCACGAAATCGTGTAATCAAAATTGGTTCGCTGCAGTATATTTTATATATTTATGTGAAGGTAACTTTTATAACAGTGAATTCGATAACATTGTTATATTGTAGCACTAGCATCCCGCCAGCGGCTTCGCCTGCGTGGTTATGTATTATACATAAAAAAAAATCTTTTTAAATCACCCTATCTATGAAAATAGAAACCGCATCAAAATCCGTTACGTAGTTTTAAAGATTTAAGCATACAAAGGGATGAAGGGACAGAAAAAGCGACTTTGTTTTATACTATTTAGTAACAGGGCCGTAGCCGAGTAGTCTGCCTGCCGGTTTCAAGGTATCGCCGTCTTTGAGGTGCCGGTTCGATACCCCTGTTCATATTTTAGTATATCTTGAGATGAGACAAAAGAGTAAACCTTTTGATGCATTACTTTTTCAAATATTTTTGAGAAGATTGATATAAGTGTTGTAGCTCAACAGTTACTTATTTAGTAGAATGTTCCTTTTTTATGTAACAGTTTAATTAGTGAGTGTTTTAGCACTGAAGGAAATTGACCCTGCATAAAAGACAAATATATAATGTGATTTGGTGGATATATAATGACATGTCAATCAATTCATTATTTGCATTAGTTTCATTAATAATATATTCATCGAATTTGTCACTTATTTCAAATGAGTCATCAATATAGGTTTATATTGTCGTTAAGTTTAATTTCTGTAAAGTTATTTTTATTTTCTTTTTTTTTTAATCGTATTTGGTTACATTCCACGTCGACTTGCAAACATTTTTTTGCTCTGGATATGTAAATGGAATTAGTTTTCCTTTGTGTTTGATATATACATTTTTTTTTTGTATTTTATTTTCATATGTTTGTTTGTTGGGCTTAATCGATATTACTAGGTACAACGGTCGTTTATTAATAAAGCATTACCGTTATACCTTTTAAATGTCAAACTGATAGGGATTGTGATGGATTCTTTTTCTTTTCATTTTGCGATGTGCAAAACAGGTCATCTGCCCTAATGTCATTGTTTTCTGCAAGGTATTGCCTGATTCTAATAAATTAGGTACCAATATCTTATGACATTTCACTCTTGTTTTATCATTTTTACAAGCTTAATGTGTTAGTGAGTTTGTTCACTAATCTTGAAAGTCAAATTTGTTCCACTGCTCAATGCCCAATAGATTTGAAATTTTGCATAGATATACTTGTAAGTCAGATAGCAATGCAATATTATGGTGCTATGATGGAGT